GCTCCCCCCCCACCGGCCTCCGCTCCCCCCCCACCGGCCTCCGCTCCCCAGCTCGCGCCTCCTCTCCGCCAGCCCGTTTCATTGGGTCCCGTCCGCGCACGCTGGGGGGCGTTCCCCTCTCTTCAGAGCTGGGCTTTTCCTGGCGGCGTCACGTCCCTGCTTCCGATCGTAATTCCCGCCTCAGATCTGCGCCTCTGAGGGGACTCCCCCCGCTTTCCGACCCCGTGCTCAGTGCCGCTCCCCGCAGCGTATCCCGGCGGCGCTGTCCTCGGACCTCAGACTTGAAACTTCCCTGTTTCCTGTCCCCTCAGAGCTGAGGCGCGGAGGAGCCGCCTTTGCGCTACCCGACCCTCCCGAGGCCGGGCCGGCTTGTTTGGGGCCCGACGGGGAGAGCCTGTCCCCTGGCCGCTCGCCGGGAGTCACCGGCCCCAAAGTCTGGCCTGCGGTCGCTGAGCCAGCCCCATGGGTGGTTCGGGCCCTCAACCAGAGGTGCCAAGTCAGGCTTTCTGTAAATCATACCCCAGCCCAGCCCCAGCCCGCCGCCAATAACTGGAAGACAAGCGGGATTTGTCACAGGGGAACTTTATTGAGAGGAAACATGGTCACACCCAGCAGACATGCTTTCCCTCTCATTCTGGTCTCTCTCTCGCGCTCTCTCTCTCTCTCTGTCTCTCTCTCTCTCTCTCTCACACACACACACACACACACACACACACACACACACACACACCTCACTCTCATCTCCAGCCTCTGCCATACGGTCCAGTTCTCAGCCACTGGGTGGGACACTCAATTCCTAAGATCCAGAGGCAGCAGGGGCAGGAGGGAGTCAAGAGGGGGGAAGAGGCAGAAGTGGCCGGTTCCCGGGTAGGGTTGGAGGGGCGCAGAGAGCAGGCTGGGTGGAATGACCAGTGGTTAGGAGAACCCGACAGCTGCAGGAGGAGTGGGATCCAGTGGCTCCAGGGGCCTCCGCTCTGCTGGTCCCTCTCCATGGAGCCCCTCTGAGCTGCGGCAGAGCATTGGGGAGAGGGTCGGGCCTCCCACCCCAGTCTAGTCCTCTCCGCTGGGGGTGGGTGGGGCTGGAGCGGGCAGGGCAGGGCAGGGAAGGTAGCAACGTGGCTCAGCTCTGGGGCCCTTCAGGTGCCTCGCCCCCCTCTTCCCCAGCGTTGTCGGCCGTCCACAGAGTCAGGTTGTCTCGCAGCAGCTGCATGATGAGGGTGCTGTCTTTGTAGGAGTCCTCACTGAGCGTGTGCAGGTCAGCCATGGCCTCGTCGAAGGTGGTCTTGGCCAGTGAGATGGCCTCCTCGGGGCTGTTGGCGATCTCATAGTGGAAAACGGAAAAGTTCAGGGCCAGGCCCAGGCGGATGGGGTTGGTGGGCGGCATCTCCTTCTTGCTGATGTCCATGGCCTCCTGGTAGGCTGACCGGGCAGAGTCGATGATGCGCTTCTTGTCATCGCCGGCGGCCACCTCGGCCAGATAGCGGTAGTAGTCGCCCTTCATTTTCAGGTAGAAGACCCGGCTTTCGGCGTCGCCGGCCTCCTTGATGAGGTGGGAGTCCAGCAGGCCCAGCACGGTGTCGCACACGCCCCGGAGCTCGGTCTCCACCTTCTGCCGGTACTCTCCCACCTCTGGGCCCTTCTCCTCCGAGCCCTCCTCCTGGCCTTTCTGTTCGATGCTGGACAGGACCCTCCAGGCCGCCCTCTGGCCACCCACCACGTTCTTGTAGGCCACGGACAGCAGGTTTCGCTCTTCGCAGGAGAGCTCCTCGCCCTTCTCCACAGCACTCTTCATGAAGGCTGCCATGTCCTCATAGCGTTCGGCCTGCTCTGCCAGCTTGGCCTTCTGGATCAGACTTGCTCTCTCCATAGCTCAGCTCTGGGGACAGACAGGCAGGCAGGCAGGCGGCAGGCTAGACGGCTGCCTCGGGACCAAGCAGGATTCTGTGCCGTCCCAGATCCCTACCTGCCTTTTGGCTGGGTGGCCTGGCCCAGAGCGGGGTGGGGTGGGGAGGGGCCGAGGGCGGGACTGAGGCTCCGGACCTACCGCCTCTCCTCTTCTCCCCACACCCTTTCCGGCTCTTCCTTAAAGGTAAAAGGGCTGGGGTGTGGGGTGAGTCATCCCGGCAGTCAGCAGGAGAAATCTGGGTGTTGGCTGCACCTGCCAGGCTCCACGCTGCCCCCTCTTGTTCAGGGCTCCCATGACATGGGTGCCCACGTGAGGTAGCTCCCCCGTTTCTCAAATCGGATTCTCCTTCACGGAGTCCTTCCAGGGGCAAAGGATGGCTCGGCCACCTGGCTGCATCAGCCTAGGCAGACCCCACAGAGCCAAGTGCAGGAGGATGGGGTTCTCATTCCTGCCAGAGAGGTGCCCCCCTTGGTTCAGGTGAGAGCACTCCTGTGTAGCCAGGGCTCTACAGTTACCCAACCTTGGCTTCCAGTATCCAATCTAATCCCCATGATGTCTCTGTGAGGTGGGCAGGTCTATGACTATGACCCCATTTTAGAGACAGGAATACTAAGGCTCAGAGAGGGATGAGATTTGCTCAAGGTCACACAGCCACTAAGTCCCCTGCATCCTACTTCCTTGACTTCTCTCCCATCAAGCCCTCTGGCTTGTGAGCTCCAGGATGTATTTAGAAGTGGGATCCAAGCTTCTTGAAATGGTTCCATCCCCCACCCTCCCTCTCCCTCAGGATCCTGTCCCCTCTGAACTCCCAGAATGCACAGGTGGCAGCTTTCAGGGTGCCACTTAATGAGGTGTTTAATGAGCAGCCTCTGACGCTCCAGCCCAGCCGTCGTAATTAGTCACTCAGTAGGTTTGTTGGACACCTTTCCCATCACAGCACAATTTTCCCTTTCAAGTTGGTGGCCTGTTGCCACTTGTTTGAGGACTTACCCTCTGGCTCTCCATGCCAGGTCACCTGCCCCCTCCAAGTCACCAGCCATCCTGTATGAGTGGGGCTCACGGAGGGTGGGGGCCCAGATGCTGGCTGGCCCTGCTGCCTGGCCCACTTTTCTGCCTGACTCAGCTCACCCTCTGTCAGAGGCTGGGAAGCAGGCCACCTGGGTGCTCAGCCCAGTTTGGTTCCCCAGGGGGGACGCTAGCAACTGGGGAGAGAGACAGGGCTAAGAAAAAGGAGGTGACACATACCATTTTGTTTTATGGGGCAGTAGTCCCAGCTGAGGACTGCCTCCCAAAGCCGGACTCTCAGGGGTTTTCCTGCCCCTTCCCTTTGACCAAGGCCCCACCTCTGACCTCTGGCATGGATGGAGAGGTCTCTGTTGTCAACCTTCTGTCCCTGGTAGCTGGGTGGAAACTATTATTGTTAGCTGTCCTTGTGTCAGCCAAGGGTTCCTTTCATCTAAAGGTGTTGGCACTGCGCCCATGAAGGTGGGTTCCTGCTTATCTGCTCCACCCCTAGCTATAGTTCAGATGGGGCTCAGGGGTGGGGCTCCCCTCGTTGGGATCTAGCCAGCTTAACCCTGGAGCCAGGACCATGTCACAGGCCTGTCCTTCCCTGGGTTGTTCTTGGTGTCTGAACACCCCCCCCCCTCCCCTTCTGGAGGCAGGGAGGCCTAGGCCAGAACTCTGAGGCTCCAAGATGAGTTCTGCTTCTTAGAAGGAAAAATAGGGACATATCTGGGCTAATGCTATAGGTTTTCAAAAGAAGCAGAAGGGATTTTAGGCTTAATATCCTGAAGGCTTTGCTCAATCCAGACAGAAAATGATAGAAAGGAAAATACTATTTTAGTACACTAAAATACAACTTACTAAGGGTATCTTTAGGGAGTGAAACTGACTTTTTTTCCTTTTCCTATTCAAATCATCTATCATGAATGTGTATTATTTTTCTGAGAGATAGAATAGCCAGTATATTTGGAATCAGACCAGCCAGGTTCAGTTCTTACAAACTGCTGTGGCCTTTGCCAAGTGACTTAACCTCTGTGAGCCTCAGTGTTCCTAACTATACAATGGGTTTGTGAGGATTAGATGAGTTGATGGGAAGCATTTGCTTGAATGGATGATAACTATTATTATCACATAGAAAAAAATCCAACCCGTGGCTGACACAGGACAGCTAACAATTTTTATATTTATTATAAAAATATATACTCACAGCATGAACATGGACCTGGGGCCTATGAAATGAGGAAGGGCCCCTCACAAGGCCTCAACCAAAAACCAGAGCCTGCCCAGCTGGGTGTCCACATGGGAAGGAAGATGGATGAATAGTCAGATACGCTCACTCAACACTGCCTCCTCCTTCTCCATCTTGGACATTCCTCTGGCCTATGCAAACCCTGGGCCCTCAAGGACCTTCTTTTGACTCAGTCCAGGCTTTCCAAGTCATGAGGGAAAGCTGGAGGTCCCAGAACAGCATAAACTTGGGACCTGGCGATTTTGGAGCTATTTCTGTCTTTAGGGAGGGAGCATTCTCTTTTCCATCACTCAAACCTGGAGACCTGGTGGCGATTCACACCCTAAAGCTCCATGCCCTCAGCACAGACCCTGTCAAGAGAAAGGAAAGCCCCCTTTCCCTGCTGAATCTGGGAGCCAGGCTGCCTGACATCTCCTGCTGGCTCTGGCCTGTCTATCCTGACTCAGTTCCTGTCTGATGCACCTCCCTTTGCCTCCAGGCTTCCATTTCCCAAGTCCAGAAGCCCAGGCAGGCAGGAGGCAGCAGGCAGGAGGCAGCAGGCCCCGGCAGGGCACTGAGTTCCACAGTCAGCCGCCTGAGTCAGCAGGACAGGAGCTGGGGCTGCAGCCCAAAGGGGCTTTCCTCATCCTGCCTACCTCCCACCCTTCTATATAACATCCATCCTACCAGCATGCTTAAGGCCTCTGGTCTCAGAGACAACCAGCCCTTCTTAGCTGGTAAATAGAATCTCAAGGGTTGTAGCACAGAGAGGAAGGCAGCAACTAGTTGTCTATCTCTACTGAGAACAGAGGACAGGGCTCTGGTTGCAGCAGGAAGGACTCTGTTGTTAAGATTCCAGGAAGAACTTCCTAGGACATTTTTCCGGTTTTAGAATGATCAAACTAAACAGGTGATCATCTTCTCCCCCTAATTATAAACTAGAGTTCAGTTATCCAGTCAAGAGCTCACTCTACTAGTTGCCTTTGGCGGGGGGATTAGATTACTTTTAAATGAGTCAGCTATCCTGAGACTTTTCTTCCTCAAGACACTGCTATTTAGAGTACCCTACATTTCCTAGACCAGTCCAGTCTAGAACACGGTGTGGAATTTTTGGAAAGAAAATGGAATGAGTTCAGGGTGTGGGGCTGCATTCCAGCTCAGGTATAAAGCCTTGGGCAGGTTCCTTCCTCTGGGCCTGTTTCTCCATAGGTACAGGGAGGTCTCACAGATCTCCTCTAAGCCCCCTGCTGGCTATGAATGACATTCTCTAATTTTAGGGTTTCTCCTCTTGAGATTCCCTTCTCCTGAAGCGCAGTATTCATTCTTTGGGTAGTGCAGAAGGGTTAGAGGTCAGGGTAGAGATCAGGTTCAAATACTGAATTTGCTGCTTTATCAGCTGGGAGACCCTGAGCAACTCCTATGCCTTCCTTGAGCCTCAGTTCCCTCATCTGTAAAAAGGCTGACAGCACTTTCCTCATAGGTTTAGGTGAGAAAACAGACTTGGCAAGCCCTTGCTGAATGGCCACTGTAGTTATTATTATTACTATTATTTAGCTCCTAGCATACTGTGTATCTTGATGTAGGGAGGCATCTGGGAGAGGGAAGGCTCCATGAGAGTGTTACCCTGGGCTAAGCTCAGTTCAGGGGTGTGACAGTCCCAGACTGGAGTCAACCCCTCTGTTGTTCAGAGGTCAGCTAAGGCTTAAAGGTCTCTGGAGCTGAGACCAGGAGTTCTGGAGGGGCACAGTGAAGAGGATGCTGGTCATTCTTCCTGTGCCACTTCTTGCTTTGTTATGCCTTTTTTTAAAAAAAATATTTTTAGAGAGAGGGGGAGAGAGAGCAAGAAACATTAATTTGTGCTCCACCCATCCATACATTCATTGGTTGACTCTTGTATGTGCCCCAACTAGGGATGGAACCTGCAACCTTGGCCTTATTCAGGACAACACTCCCACCAACTAAGCCACCCAGCCAGGGATGCCGTGCCTTTTAAAAATCTCCAAACAGCACTGACCAGCTGGAACAAAGCTGGCAGCTGTAAGCAGTGGTTCTCCTGCACACTCATCACAGGCCCCACCCCCAGGCCCCAAGAAAGAGTGGCACCAGACAGCCAAAGATATGGCAAGAAGAGGGAAATCTTTATTTTGGTTTAAAAAAGGTACAGGATAGCAGACAAGCAGACCCCAGCCATGGGCTTAGCAGATTCCGGAGGCCCAGCCAGTTTCCTTTAATTCCTCTGAAGAACAAGGGGCTGCCAGAACTAGCTCAGTCCCTCGGTGCCTGGAGCAAAGGGTACAAGCATCTTCCTTGCAACCTTTCTACTCAAGTGCTGGGGGTGGAGGGGGCCGTGGGAACAGTGTCAAACCAGTTGTGCTTAAAACTGTTACCAAACTTGTTCAGCAGCGTCATCAACCACAACACCCCAGACAGCTCCTGAAGAAACCTGCTCAGCTCGACTACGGCTGTGCCTGATTCTGGGGGGCAGGCTGTAAGGCAAGATTCCTAAAGAGTCTTGACACCTTACAAATCTGGGGAAGGGGAAGTAAGGTGGAAGAGGGGAGGGTGAGTTTCAGCATAGTCTTACATCATTGTGCTGACAGCTGCGTTATGGCTTTTCTACACTCTGGCCAGCATGGAGTGGGGATGGGGGCAAAGAGGTCAGTCCCCTGGCCCCTATGGGGGGACCCTAGAGAGCACACATGTGGGGCAGGTGTGGGGGTAGACCCTGTAGGCACAGATGGTGGCAGATGGGCCACAGGTTAGGCAGGTGGAGGTGCCAGGTGCTTGGCTCCCCCCAGGCCACTCCTGGAGAGGAAGAGAGCAGCGGTCCTCAGGAGGTCCTTAAGCCCCCGCACACACTGGAGATCCCGGGCAAGACAGCAAAGAAGGAGAAGAGAGAGGGTTAGTGGGGTGGGGAGGAAAGAGGAGGCCTAGAGGGGTTCCACAGCACCTGCCTCTTCCCCACAGAAGGGCCTCTTCCCCACAGAGGGCCAAGGCTTGGGCAGCAGGCAACGAAGCAGGAGAGAAGACGGGCAGGTGAGAGAAAGCTCAGCAGGGACAGAAAGCCAGGACACAGTGTTAGTGATCAAAGGCCCCTGTACACCAGGACACCACCAGAATAGACCCAGGCATCTGAGAGCAGGTACCCCATCCTTTCCCCACCCTCACCCTTCACCTCCTGCGTCAGTCGGAGAGCTGCTGTGTGAGAAACTACTTCCTCATCCGGAGGGGGGCTGGGCTCTTCGCCCCAACCCCATCCTTCTGCTCAGGGGGGAGCCCTGGGGACCCTACCACCACCAGCATACACACCACACCACACACCAGACAGATGAATGGGCTCCATGGGGTTGCGAGGCATGCGATGAGGATGAGATGGTGTGTGAGGGGAGCGGGCAGTGCTGGCTGACAGGGAAGAGATGGTCTTACCAGCTAACCCTCTGCAAAGAGGACTGTTAGCTCCCCTCAGGCTGTGCAGGAGATGGCAAAATCCTGACAGGTGTCCTCCTGGAGGAGATACCAGAGAGGTGGGCCAGTGTTATGAGGTGTCTGGCTGGGCTCTGCTGCCCAGACGGAGGTGAGGGCCAAGAAGGCTCCAGCTCTCAAACTGGAATCTACTGTCTCATAAACATTTTCTTAGCTGAGCAGTCACTGGGGGTCAGAGTAGAAAGAGAGCAAGGAACTTGTGGGCCTCCAAGCCCCTGTGGCAGGGGAAGGTGGAGGGGACAGTGGCCTCTTCTTACACGCCTATGCCTAGCCGCAGTGCTCTCTGTTCTGCCTCCAGCAGACAGACTCCAGCCAGGAGAGAACTTTAGCCAGGTCGGTGGGCTGCCTGCCTTCTCTCTGTATCCCCAGGAAAGACCAAGTTTGACTGACAGAATAGATGGCTGCCATTTGGGGCCTCAGCAAAGAAGAGCAAACAAAAACCAAACCAAAGCAAATCAACTCTTAAAAACAAAAGTTTTATTACAAGCAGGAACAAAGAACACTAGCTTAAATAAAAGTCAGATGGGAGTCGACCTCCTCTACCCAGCGTCCTGCTCCCCTCCCAGTGCCACTGCAGCCTGGCGCGGGGCACTAAGGCTGGGCGAAGGGAAGCTGTTTTCCCAGAGGAGACCTCCTGTGGCTGCCACTTCTCAACTGCCTGTGACCCACTAGCCTCTGGAGCAAGGCAGGGCAAGATAAGGGGACTTCCTATGTCATTTTCCAAGGACTTCGGCCCATTTGAAGGGCCAAGGAGGGGGAGAGAGGAACAATTTCCTATCTATTTCTTTTGACAAGAAACTATAGTTCCCAGCAGAGGAGGGACATTCTCTGAGTTTCTGGCCTAGATTCAGGCCAATCTTCATTCGCCTTGGCCCACCTTGCTCCTTCCTTCCTTCCTTCCTTCCTTCCTTCCTTTTCTCTGGACGGAGGCCTCCAGTTGGCAGAGATTCCCTGTTCTCTAGCCCTTGGCACTGGGTCCCATACTCGGGGCTTGGAGGAGGGGGTGTGGCTTCTAGGGTGGCAGCCGCTCCTCACAGCCATTACCCCATGCACCACACCCAGCCTCAGCCTGTCTAGGCAGATCCCAGCTGGAAGCCTGACCTGGGGGCTGGGTGGCAGGGGTGGGGTTGGGGGTGGCTGAGTCCCCAGCCACTGGCTGTCGGAAGTCCCTGGAGGAGAGAAAGGTAGGAGGATGTGGGCTGAGCCACAGAAGGAGCCCAGGGGTCTCTTGTAACCACTGCGCACATTCCTTGTCCCCATGGCTCAGGCCGGTACTGCTGTTGCTGGCTGACACTGGAGGGGGATGGTGAGGAGGAGGGCAGCCCAGGGGATGTGGGGAAGTGGGAGCCAGCCACATTTGTACAAGGGCAAGCATATACACACACACACACACACACACACACACACACACACACACTCACAGTCAAAAGGTCTCTTGTAATAAACTTATTAAAATCAATTTGCCTTCTGATAACCTGGCACTACACAGACAGCAAAATGGCTGACTTTTTAAGAATTCTTCTTCCATTTAAAAAATGTAGAAAAGAGGTCTATAAAATTGTGCAAAATACCCAGCATTAATAAACCCGTTTCAAGTATTACCAGCATGAGTATTACCAACCCATCCCAGACCTGACTTGGGAAAGAGATGGGGGGGCCAGGCTGGGATCCCATAGAGAACCCTCTATGGGCGGAGAAATGGCAAGGCCCCACTTCCTAGTGTGCTTCCCAGGAATCATGCTGGAGCTGAGGTCTTGGGTGCCTGGCCGGCTGGTTTGGCTTCCTCTGACACAGGCTACCCCACCCCTCCGCCCCCATCCACCTCCAACTCTGCCTTCTCTACCTAGAACCCAGCTCTATTCTATTGGCCAACTCCATATAAAAAAATAAAAAACCAAAGAAAAACAATGATCATCACAAAAAGAATGAAGGAGCTTGCAAACCAAAGTAGCCCATGGAAACATCCTGTCCCATAGCCCGCTGTCCAAGGCCACTGCTCCTGGGTCTTGTTTCACCCCAGAACCCCAGCTCAGCAGGGCTCAGCAGCTTCCCCAACTGGGAGGCATTACACTCAGTCCGCACCTTCACTCACACAGGGCTCGCCCTGGCACAGAGTCTTGGCGTGGTCCTCTGGGAACCTGGCCCTGGCCTCTCTATCCTGTCACTCCTGCGACTGATCAGCTGGGGGGAATCTCACTCCTAAGGCCGTGGGAACCTGGGTTTGGGGAGCAGAGGGTACAGCCATGGAACGGTGTGGGGACAGCACGCAGGGTGGGAAATAAATACGAAAAGACTTGAGTCTTTGGTGGCTCTGCTTCCCTTGGGTGGAATGGGGAGGGTCTCGGCAGGTGTGGAGTGCGGCAGGTGAGTGCGGAAGGGCAAACAGGCCAGCAGGTGGCGAGTACTGAGCCAGGTTCAGGGGTGGCCTCCTACCATGTTGGCATCGGCCTTGGCTCCACAGGCTGGCTCGTCGCTTCTGATGGGTGAGGGCAACAGGGTGTCAGGCTGCACAAATCCCCTCCGGTCAATCAGGCTTCAAAAACACAAGGTGGACATGTGAGGGCTCTGCCTGACACCAGGACACCAGACTGGGGGCTGGATGGCAGAGACTTGGTGTGGTCCTCTGGGCACCCGGCCCTGGCCTCTCTATCCTGTCACTCCTGCCACTGATCAGCTGGGGGGATCTCATGCCTAAGGCCGTGGGAACCTCGGTTTGGGGAGCAGAGGGTACAGCCATGGAACACTGTGGGGACAGCACGCAGGGTAGGAAATAAATGCCCCACCAAGGGAAGTCTTGGAAAATCTGAGGAAAAGGGAGGTGTCTTCCCGCTGGGAGCTCAAGACTCCTCCCTTCCAGAAGGGCCCTCTCTCCACACTCTGGACACCTGGCTTTTGGCCATAGAATTTACTCACTGTTAATTCAAACTAGCTCACCTTTCTGTGTGGCTGCCAAGAAGCCAGGCTGCAGGCGAGGGGAACAGTAAGGATGAAAGGGCATTTGGAGATAGTGCGACTCCTACTGTCCCTTTTCTGGCAGAATTGGTGGGAGGAGAAGGGGACAGCGTGGGAAGTTTTGTTCCCAGTGTCCACTGCCATTTAGCTCCCATCTGGCGCCCTCTGCTGTCAGGATGGACGGGGTGCTTCCTAGCAGGGCTGAACCACCAGGGCTTTCTCCTTCTAGGAGGGAGAATGGAGGCCCCCCCAGTTTGGCCAAAACATTAATTGTGGTTATCCCTGGGGAGTAAGATTACATGCGAGACCTAACACTCTTGTTTTTCATATTTTGTACTTATTTTTTTATCTACAATGAGCACATGACTTAAAATTACAACTCTTCATAGAACTCCTTTATGTGACAAATGCCCTGAGAGCATTCAGCAGGGGATGGGGACAGAGGAGTGTAATGTGGGGAGAGGTCTGCTGATTCCAGAACCTCTTTGAGAGATGTGGACTCACAAGGTCACCCAGTCTCACCTGGGAGGTAGGGGGCCGCAGAGCACAGCACAGCAGTTGGTGATAACACTTTTATGGCTGTAGGGATTGACAGAGGCCTCGCCACCTCTCTTGCTGGACCACGAGCCTTTGATCTGCAAGTAGAAGGAGGTCTGGGTCAGATACCTATCTCCCTTTGCTTCGCTTTTCTAAGGGGGGGGCTAGAGGCATGGGAAAACTGGCAAATTCTGAAACCAGTTCCAACTAGACTACTGGAGAGGACATGTCTTTAACCAGGGCCATTCAGAGAGAATGTGGGGGCCTTCTGGATGGTGGGGGGCACCTAGCAGAGAGGAGGAGGCCCCAAACTGGACAGAAGACAAAGGAGAGCCACGGAGAAGCCTCCAAAGAAACTTTTTGGGTGTATCCTCTCTTCTCTAGCCAGCCTCCTAAGGTGGAGGGCAGGACAAGGGCACAGGGGTCAGGCTGCCTTTCCTGCCACAGACTCACTGCGTTACCCCGGATAGATCACTACTTCTCTGAATCCTCATTTGAAAAATAGGGAACTCTCTGATACCAACTTTCTGATAGCACTGTTGGAGCATCAGACGAAATCTCTAGCTCTGTGAAGCCTATTAACAAAGGCACTGAGGAGTTTAGCAGTGAAGGACACCTGCTTAACTTTAACCCAGAGATTCCCAAATTTATTTGGCTATATCAGTCCTCTTTACTTAACCCCTAGTAATATCCTACAGAACCAGCACCCAGGAAACCACCTTAGGAGAGTCTGCTCTGTACCAATCACCCAGCACATGATACCCTATCATGCGTGTTAAGTTTTGTTTCACTAAATGAGAAGCTGAGGTCACAGAAGGTATTTTCTGTTAGTCGATGGGCCCCTTAGTATCAGATAGTGACCCTGGAATGGACACTCTTGTTTGCTTTTTTATTGTTTGGGAGAACGCGAAGGGGAGGTCAGGTCCCTGGCCCAGGGTTGGGCACACAGTGAGTGCTCAAACAATGCTTGTTGGTGAGGGTAAGGCAGCAGGTAGGGAGGATTAATGGAACCTCAGGGTCCTGTCCTGGCTGTTCCCGTCAATAAGGAAGCCCCAGGGAGCATCAAGGACACCTCAGAACAGTCACATCTCTGCTGCCTACAATTGTAGCGGGGGGCAGTGAGCATGGCCATGGCGCCTGGGTGAAATCCTGACTCTATCCCTTCCCAGCTGCGTAATCTTGGGGCAAGTCACTCAGCCATCAAATGGAGAAAAAGCATCCCTCAGAGTTGGCAAAAGGACCCGAAGAGATGATGGGAACCGAAAGAACTCTGGAAACAACAATGTGCTGCCAAATGTAATGACTGTTTCGGTGCGAGTGCTGCTTTTCTGGGGTTAGGGAGAAAGCATCTTGGGGGCCCTGGGAGCCTGCACCGAGCGCCAACACACGTGGGGGCCTCAGAAGCTGTGCTGGGTCTCAGGGCCAAGCCATGAGCACTGCAGGAGCTGGCTGCCTATCATCTGCACCCACGTTTCCCCAGCAGGCTGAGAGTCAGGGCTGCACTGCTGCCACTCCAGCTCCTTCAGCCCCGCCTCTTGCCAAGGGTCCAGCCTTACTCACATCTTCGTTAGTTGTCAGGTTGGAGGCGACGAGGTAAGTGTGAAACCCTGAGAGGCCCAGGATGGACCAGATGGAGAAGAAGCAGATCACCAACTCCAGCACAGTGAGCAGGCAGTCAAGGACCCACAACCAGGATCAGGGCTGGGAGCCTCCCCTGCGCCTGGGATCTTGCCACGCCCAGCCTTTCTCCCCTCTCCTTCCCCAGAAAGGAAATAAGTGTGTAACCTTCCTATGGCCCACTCACCACCTCTTAGCAGGATCACCCCCTGAGCCTCAAGAAGGGTTGAAGAGCTCCCCTCAAGAGCAGGACGAGCCCAGGGTGATGGGCAGAAGTGGGAACTGAGGGTTCCAAGCACCAAGAGCTGTGGCCGTGGTCAAGGGAGCTTGGTGCCTTAAGGGAAGACAGGGACTGTGGCTCCTGAGAGTTCTCGGCCACCCCGTCCCACAAGAGCCCATTTAAGATCAGCTCAAGCCTGGGTGTATATTGGATTCTAGAGGACAAACACCTGCTCTACATCATTGCCCTCTGTTTATAGGATGAGGTGTGGGAACCCATCCCAGTGACGGGGCCTCAGTTCCCACCAGGCTGCCCACTAGCAGTCAAAGGCCAAGGATATCTTGCTGGTGTCTCCTTCAGAGTGGAGAGGAAGTTGCTTCCCTGAGAGCCTGGAAGAAACAGGAGAGAACACGGCTCAGAGGGACGGTGACCACAGCTCCTCAGCCTGGCTGAGCTGGCTGGCCCGCCCTCTGCTTGTCCCCGCTCCCATTGCCACCGCCAACTCACGGAGCGTCAGGTGGGTGACCACGCAGGCGAAGATGAAGGCCGTCAGGAATGAGAGGGAGAGAATAAACGCGTAGAAGAAGCGGTAGTTCCGTCTCCCCACACAGTTGCCCACCCAGGGGCAGTGATGGTCAAACCGTTCTGGAAAAGGGCCGGGGGAGAGGGGTTAGTGCAGGCCTGGCTGGCAACCAACCAGCACAGGTGTTCAGAGGCCTCACACCTTGGCTGGCTTTCCCACCCCCTCACTCTCCGCACCAGCAGCTCTCAGACACTCCCTGCTTCTGGTCCTGTGGGAACTGGTTGCCACGGCTCACACATTCTTCCCCGTCTTTCCCGGTGAAGGGAAATTCCTCTTTCATGTCTTGGCTGCAAAGCCACTTCCTTAAGAAAGTGTCCTCTGACCCCAGGCAAGGTAAGGGTCCCTGTTACCTGCTCTGTTGCTCTGGCACTTATCTTTTGCAGCACTTTGTCCATGGTGTTCACATATTTATTTACAATTAGTGGACTGGCCAGTGTCCCCTGCTCAATTATAAGCTCCATAAGGGGGGGCCTGTGTTGGCCTCATAATGAGCTGAATCCCAGGGCCCAGCCGTGTCTGGTACAAGGAAGATCCACAAAAAGTACTTGTTGCCCAGCCTACGACCCCTGCCACACACCAAAAACTAATGACCCTTGTCCCTCAAGCTAGAACTAGAGGCCCAGGGAGGGGCTAGACCGCTATGTAACTAGTGGAGAACTGGCACCCGAGGCCTGGTCAGAGGGCTGATCTCACACCAGCACCACGTCCCCGGGGGTAGGGGAAAGTCCCCTGTGGGAATATGGGTCACAAGCCCATTGCAGGCCTCGCACCAAGGCCAGCACCCTTTGCAGGGGGTGGGTGGGGCTGATTCTCTTGGATGAATGACGCCCACTGAGTCACCCACTTCACTGCCTGTCGTCATGGGGTGTTCCCCACTATTCTCTTGCTCAGGGAATGCTGAGCCAGCTTGATGAGCTCACTGCCCTGGGGACTGTGCACAGTCACAGTGGCACAGCTCACCGGGCCCTCTTGCATAGCATTTACCTTACGATACCTCCCAGGGGCACACCCTTGGTCCCCATCAGAGCTGCCCAGCCTCTGGAACACAGTCTCTGGTTCCCCAGCAACCACTGCAGTTGTGGGTCAGCAGCTCAGCTTCCAATCCTGGCTACCTCCTCTCCACCTCACCAGCTTAAACCTCTCTGTTCCCAGACTCTTGTCCTTCCCAAACCCTGCGAGTCAGATCAAAGTATTTCAGCATAGGTGGTCCTGGGCACCGGTTGGTAAATCATTTCCTTCCTGGCCCAAACGCATCTAGGATGTTATTGGTCCAAGTCTCTGGTTCTGGGACCTTGAACCTCTGAGGACCAGGCTGAGGCCTAAAAGAAGAGTTCAGGGCCTCTCTGTGTCTGCCCCACTTCCGAGCTGCGGGGAAGGAATCCACTGATCCTGGGCTGAAGCCAAGACACCAGTGGTCACACTCAGAGCCCACTGGTCATTCTCAGGTTCCTTCTTGGTCAGAGCAAATCTGAGTGACCCAGACTTCCTGCCCAGCCCTGGATCTTTCCAACATGCCACCCCCCTCCAGCCCCACATGAATGACTCCCTTCCTCCAGTCTTCAATTCTCTCAGGGTTCCCCATACCCCTCCCTGTGGTCCCTCACTTACCCACACAGTTGTCGCAGACACTGCAGTGTGAGGTCCGGGGTGGTCGAAACATCTTGCAGGTGAAACAATACTTCAACTTCACCATCTGCCCATTGATCATCACCTCCTGGGTCCGAGGGGGTGGCCGGTAGGTGGAACTGCCTGTGTTGTCTGAGGGTGGGAGAGAAAGATGGGGGATGTCCAAGCCTGGATCCAGGAGCCCCAGCCGGGGAGAAGCCACTGCTTCCTGGCTGGGACAAGAGAAGCCTTGGGGAAACTTTCCAGGGAACAAACGTTAGAGTAAAATGCCAGCTTAAGGTGGGGACAAATACTAAGAACTGCTACCACTTACTAGGACTGGGAAGTGTTAAAACTTTACACCTGCTCACACACGGAGGCCCTTACACAACTCTGAGAAAGGCTATCAGAGAAGGCCCTGGAAAGGCATGGTGAGGTTTAACTGCATCTATTCAAGCCTAGATCCAATTTCCAAATTCAGGAGGTTCAGGATGTGGAGGGACAAAGTAAACAATGCTACGAGAAACAGATCCAGAATGTGGGGCACCTACAAGACCACTGGCCTGATCGCCAACAAAAGTCAGTCACTTACAAAAGGAGAGGGGGGATGGCTCTAAGTTAAAAAAGATTTAGGAGCCCTAACCGGTTTGGCTCAGTGGATAGAGCGTCAGCCTGCGGACTCAAGGGTCCCAGGTTTGATTCCGGTCAAGGGCATGTACCTTGGTTGCAGGCACAACCCCAAAAGGGGGCGTGCAGAAGGCAGCTGATCGATGTTTCTAACTCTCTATTCCTCTCTGTAAAAAATCAATAAAATATATTTAAAAAAAAAGATTTAGGAGACTTAAGCAATGCATGATCCTAACTTGGATCCTGTTTTGAAAAACAAAATAAAACACAGCAACAAAAGACAGTTGGCAGAAAATGACTATAGATTAGAAATTTGGGAACTATTAATTTTCCTAGATGTGGTCATGGAATTACGTTTATGTTGGAGGCTGCCCTTAAATTTTGAAGATACAGCCTGTGTAGCTCAGTGGTTGAGTGCCAACCTATGAACCAGGAGATCATGGTTTGATTCCCAGTCAGGGCACATGCCCAGGTTTCGGGCTTGATTCCTAGTGGGGGGCGTGCAGGAGGCAGCTGATGAATGATTCTCTCTCATCATTATGTTTCTATCTTTCTCCCTCTCCCTTCTTCTCTAAAATCAATAAAAATATATTTTAAAAAAATGGGAGAACGACTTCATGGACTTCATGACTGTGAAGTAGACAAATATTTTTTAAACAAGACACAAAGGGGCTTGCCTGGCTGGGTAATTCAGTTGGTTAGAGTGTCATCCCAATATGCTAAGGTTGCAGGGTCGATCCCCAGTCAGGGCACATACAAGAATCAACCAATGAATGCATAAATAAGTGGAACAACAAATCGATGTTTCTCTCTCCCTCTAAAAATCAATAAAAAAAAATTTAAAAGATACAAAAGGGATAATCATAAAAGAGAAGTTGCTAAACTGCATATATCATAAGAACTTCTGTTCATCTAAAGATATCATTTAAAGAATGAAGAGGTGACCTTCAGAGTAGAAGATGATATTTACAATATCTGACAAAAGACAAAGGATTTATATCCAGAATATATAAAGAAGTCTTATAAAATCAGTAAGAAAAAGTCAGACAACTGAATTCAAAGTGGACAAAAGATTCAAACAGGCATTTAATAAAAGAAGCTGTCCAAATGACTAATAAGCACATGAAAGGGTCCTCATACTCCTTAGTCATCAGGGAAATGCAAATTAAAACCACAATATGCTACCACTACACATGCACCCGAATGGCTAAAAAAAACCCAACTTAAATCCAGTGTTGGCAAAAATGTAAAGCAACTAGAAATCTCATATGAGCACTTTGGAAAACTGGTACTAACTATGAAAGTTCAACATAGGCACCCCAGCAATCCCACTCCTAGGTGTCTTCCCAACAGAAATGTGCATGATGTGATGTGAGCCAAAAGACATACACAGAATGTTCACAACAATTCTCCTAATAGCCAAAAGCTGGACCTACCCAAATGTCTATCAATAGTAGAATAGATTAAAAAATATAGTATAGCCACACAATGGAGTTCTAATACAGCAATGGGAATGAATGATCCACAACTACACACAGCAATACAAATGAATCTCATCAACATTGTGTAAAATGAAGAAATCACACATGTAAGAACACAAAATGTTCAAAAACAGGTAAAAGTAATCTATGGTGTTAGAAGTCAGATCGTGGTTACCCTTGGAGGGGTGACAGTGATCAGAAGGGGGGAAAGGGGACTCCTGAGACACTGCTCATACACTGTTTCTTTATATGCTGACAACATTCTATATTAGCAATATAGACACTTATGATTTGTACACTTTTGCTAGGCCTGTTACACTTTAGTAAAAAGCTAAGAAAAAGAAAGGACTAAGGTCTCGTCTGAGGTCATGAAGCTGGAATGCTGGCAAAACAGGAATCTGAAACCAGGTCTGCCAATGCAAAGCCCACAGTTCTACCCACTGAGCCTCTTGGTACCCAGGCCACAGAGGACCAAGTCCCCAGAGCAGTGGCTCCTTCCTGGACAGATTTCCTAGTCACATGGGGCTGCCTGTGATCCCTAGCACTCAGCTACCACTTCCACTGGATCGACTCCCCAGATATCTCCAATTTGATGACTTGCCTTCAATGATTCTTCACTGCGTATGTACCATGTGTAGGAATAAGGGCAATGATTCTTCACTGCGTATGTACCATGTGCAGGAATAAGGGCAATGATTCTTCACTGCGTATGTACCATGTGCAGGTACTATTCTAAGCACATTACTACTGGCAGGCATTAGTGAAGCAAACAGACATCTGTTGCTGTGGGCACATGTTGTGTGTGCACATTGTCTTTCCAAATAGACTGTACACCCCTCGAGAGCTGGGCCCAGCATTCCAGCTTCATTGCCAGACATCTCTCACATCCAGTTACCAGAAGGCTGTTTCACCATCACCTCAGTGTGCTTGAAATGGAACTAAGTATCTGAGCATCCACTTCTTTCTTAAAACCCAGCAGCGTGGTAAAGGGCAGGGGGATTGAGGCCAATGGATACACTCTGAAACCTGGTTTTGCCACTGACTGGTTGTGTGTGAGGTTGAAGTCAAACCTCTCTGAGCCTCAGTTTTCTCATTTGTAAAATGGGAATAATAGGTAGACTGGAGCATGAATCCTGGCTCCCCCTCTTACTAGCAGGGTTTCTCCTGATGATACCATTGGTTACCTGTGTGGCAGGGCAAATCATTTTACCTCTCTGTGCTTCTGTTTCCTCAGTCACTGAAATGGGGATAATGGTACCCTCCTCATCAGGTTATTGTGAGGATTAAATGTGTTAAATATGTGAAGTAGCACAAAGTAAATGCTTAAGAAGTGTGCCTGTTATTACTGGCTCATAGAATAACTGAGAGAAAGAAGGGAAAAGACACCCTAGCTAGTTTGGCTCAGTGGACAGAACCTTGGCCTGCGGACTGAAGGGTCCCGGGTTCGATTCCAGTCAAGGGCACATGCCCAGGTTGCGGGTTCGATTCCCCAGTAGGGGATGTGCAGGAGGCAGCCGATCAATGATTCTCTCTCATCATTGATGTTTCTCTTTCGCCCTTCCTCTCTGAAATCAATAAAAATATATTTCAAAAAAAATGAAGGGAAAAGGCAAGGGAAAGAGAACACTTCACTGAGGGTCTACTGCAGTGATTCCCAAAGTGGGCGCTACCGCCCCCTGGTGGGCGCTGCAGCGATCCAGGGGGGGCGGTGATGGCCACAGGTGCATTTGTTTTAACTTTTTTTGTATTACCTTTCTATTCTGAGTTCAATAAATAGTTTCATAATTTCAAACTTCAATGTTTCTAATTTACACCTTTCTTTACTATATTTTACAAAAAAGGTAGAAACATTAATACATATATCTTTCTGTTTAACTGCTATTACAATTTAAAAAAAATTAATTTCCAGGGGGCGCTGAGTAATATTTTTTCTGGAAAGGGGGCGGTAGGCCAAATAAGTTTGGGAACCACTGGTCTACTGTATGCTGAGCACTCTGCATACAGTTATCTTCTTTAACCCTGATAACATCCCAAGAAGTTAGGTTATCATTATCGTCAGGTTTCGGAGACTTTAAAGTGAGCTTAAGTTACTTGTCCAATGTCACACAGCTATTAAGTGGCAGAACCAGGATGTGAAACAAAGTTTCCAAAGCTTGGGGTTGAGGTTTTTTTGTGTGTAAAATTTAAAGTGTCATAATGAGTGTTATTTATCTCTGCCTGGTTCCTATTTCTGCTGGTGGCACAATCTAAGAGCTAGCAGGAACCTCAAAGAACAGAATACACAGCCCCAGCACATAGCAGATAATTGATAAATGTCCCTTTGCTCACTGCCTCTGTTCTAACCCATTCAGTTTACAAATAAGAAAGAGGCCCAGAGAGGTTTGGGGATTTGCCCAAGGTCACACAGGCAGGGACAGGGGAACCCACTCTGGAGTCTCTTTTTATTTTTTATTATTTTTAAAAAATATATTTTATTGATTTGTTTACAGAGAGGAAGGGAGAGGGATAGAGAGTTAGAAACATCAATCAGCTGCCTCCTGCACACTCCCTACTGGGGTTGTGCCCGCAACCAAGGTGCATGCCCTTGACCGGAATCGAACCTGGGACCCTTGAGTCCGCAGGCTGACGCTCTATCCACTGAGCCAAACCGGTTAGGGCTGGAGTCTCTCTTTAAAAAAAATAATTTTTATTGATTTCAGAGAGGAAGGGAGAGGGAGAGAGAGCTAAAACATCAATAATGAGAGAGAATCGTTGATCAACTGCCTCCTGCACGTCCAACACTGGGGATCGAGCCAGCAACCCGGGCATGTACCCTGACCGGAATTGAACTGTGACCTCCTGGTTGTATACAACTGGCACATTCCTCTAAATAGCCCCTTTTGAGTCACCTCTCAGCTCAAAACCCTTCATTCGCCTCCCCTAAAAAACAAGATAGAAGAAAAACTTCTTGTCATGATATAAGGGCCCTTCACAATCGGGCCCAACCTCTGTTCCCGGCTTCTCTCCCACATCTTTTCCCTCACGAGTCACTGGAGCTTAGGTCTT